AGAGAGAGAGAGAGAGAGAGAGAGAGAGAGAGAGAGAGAGAGAGAGAGAGAGAGAGAGAGAGAGAGAGAGAGAGAGAGAGAGAGAGAGAGAGAGAGAGAGAGAGAGAGAGAGAGAGAGAGAGAGAGAGAGAGAGAGAGAGAGAGAGAGAGAGAGAGAGAGAGAGAGAGAGAGAGAGAGAGAGAGAGAGAGAGAGAGAGAGAGAGAGAGAGAGAGAGAGAGAGAGAGAGAGAGAGAGAGAGAGAGAGAGAGAGAGAGAGAGAGAGAGAGAGAGAGAGAGAGAGAGAGAGAGAGAGAGAGAGAGAGAGAGAGAGAGAGAGAGAGAGAGAGAGAGAGAGAGAGAGAGAGAGAGAGAGAGAGAGAGAGAGAGAGAGAGAGAGAGAGAGAGAGAGAGAGAGAGAGAGAGAGAGAGAGAGAGAGAGAGAGAGAGATTAAAATGAAAAATAAAAAAAAATATTAAAAAGAAAAATGAAAAAATAAATTTGTATATTTCACTGTACTATATATTTGAACTTGTGTTCTTTAGTTGTTATGTATACACAATTTATTATGTAGAAACTTTTGAATTGTGTATATATGTATGTATATTAATTTAAAATATATTAATAAACTATTTGATTTTGTAAAAGTTTTTATTTTAATTAAAGATTTTTTTTTACCTCCACTCCGTTACTCACTTAGCTTCTTTTATAAAAAATTTCTAATATCAGTTTACTTCAGCTTCATATTCGAAATCATACTGAAGTTAGGTAACAGCTGTCAATTTTAAAAAATCAATTACAATAATAAAATGCTTTAAAAAATTTCTACTAGTCACTTTTTTTAAATTTTTACATGCGGTGGAGTTTTTTTTTTTTAAGTAATTTAATTGTTTTAATCATTAGATAATATTTAGATTTATACTTTGAAATATCAGAATACCAACCTAAAAATCAGACCACAATAGTGTTTTAAATTTTTGTTTGTTGATATCCGTTGATAGGTATCAGCTGTTCTTTAAAATTATCGAATTGTCAAAATAAATAACAAACACTTAAAACATAGACATATATACTACCTTAATTGTTGATTATAAAATATAATTATTTAAAAAATGAGTCGTACTAATAATAGAGAGCTTATTGTGAAAAAAATCCTCAGTGCTGGTACCAAAACTGTTACATTTAATCCAGGAACAAAAGTAAGTACTTGAAAAAATTATTTTATTTATTTAACTACTAATAAAAAGTGTAAACATAATTTATTTTCTTGCTACATAGGTTAATTTTCATTTTAAAACAACCAAGTGTGATGAGAACGAAACTGTTATTGATGACAGTCGCGTGTTAGGAAGACCAATGGAGCTTGTACTGGGCAAAAAATTTAAATTAGAAGTTTGGGAAACTATTGTTCAAAAAATGGCTTTGAATGAAGTCAGTAAGTTCACCGTGGATAAAAGCGTAAGTTTAAATTATTTGTTTTAAGATTAAACTAAAAACTTGACAGTTTTTTTTTTTTTTATTTTTCTTGAATAATAATCTATAAACACAAAGAAGAAAATAATTCTTTTCAGACTTTTTAGTTAAAATCTGTTTATATATTATTAAAGCTTGTCACTTCTTATCCATTTGTATCAAAAACATTGAGAGAAGTCGATAAACCACAGAATGAAAAAGTTAACAGGCATTGTTGTGGTGTTACTTTACAAAATGAAGGTGTTGGATATAATGACTTGAATGAGTTACTTAAAAATCCTCAAGATTTATCATTTACTATAGGTAAATTTATAGTTAAATAATTTATACATAATTTTATATGAATTATATAAATATATATATATATATATATATATATATTTTTTTTTTTACTTAATAGAATTACTTAGTGTTGTTCATTCAGATGAATACGAAAAAGAGCTATGGCAAATGACAGAAAAAGAAAAACTAGAGTACATTCCAGTATTACGAGAAAAAGGTAATGAAGAATTTAGAAAAAAAAATTATGATTCCGCTTCTGAGAAATATCGAACTGCAATAGGAATATTGGAGCAATTAATGCTAATGTAATTATTTTAAATTTATTTTTTATATAATTATTCAGTTTCAAGTTTTACATCCGTTTATTTATTTAACATAAATATTTTTAACTGAATAATTACAAGTTTATGTTGAATAATTTCATATAAAATTAATTTAATTATTTATAGAGAAAAACCAAAGGATGAAGAATGGACGAAATTAAATAAATTAAAAAATCCATTGTTACTTAATTACGCACAGTGTAAATTACTAAACAAAGAGTATTATAATGTTATTGAACACTGCACAACTGTGTTGGAAAATGAACCAGGTAATTTTCTTAAAATTAATCATGAATATTTTTATTTTAAAATTTATTTAATTAACAGATAATGTAAAAGCTCTGTTCCGGAGAGGCAAAGCGCACATTGGAGCATGGAATCAAGTTGAAGCTACTAAAGATCTTGAAAGAGCTGTTGAATTAGATCCAACTTTGAAATCAGTAGTTGAAAAAGAATTACAAGCTCTTGCATCAGCTATCAAAAAAAGAGAACAATCTGAAAAACAAAAATATACAAGTATATTTTCTAGTTAATTGTTATTTGATAAAATTTTTAAATAAATTTTATTAATATTAAACAATAAAATACTTTAGTAGTTGATTTTAATAAATAAAATAATTAATATTCAATTTTATATACTTTATGCATTCATAAAGACGACAAACAAAAGCTCATGTTTTATTACATAACGAGGCAATTATGTTAGAACAAAAACTTTTTAGCATAAACAATGTGTCATGTATCCCGATGACAGATGCAGAGATAAGCGCTGCACATGGATATAAATAATAGAGGCTTTTGTGATCAGCACAAATATTAGTATTTTTACAAATATATAATATACTGGATGAAACATAATGATGATGATGATGATGATGATGATGATGATGATGATGATGATGATGACCTGTCGGAAAGTTTCAGCTTTTTGTGCTTATTCATATTCTTGTAAAATTGGCTGCTCTTTAAATAATTAATAGAGTACTTGTTAGTTTCAAAGCCTGTGACCAAGTGAATAAACAGAGCTAAATGTTAAGAAGATGATTAAATGTTACTAGAGTACAAATCCAAAGTTCATTTACCAGTTATTAAACATTTAATATTTTTTTTTTTTCAATTAATTAAGATAAATAAACTATCGAGAAAGTTGTAAAATATTTTTGATAAAGATAATCAATTAAGAATTTTTTTTCGAGTATCTTGACAACTTTATCATCAAAGATCAGCTCTCACGCTACTTTCAAACATCTTTCATTTAAAGTCAATACTAGTTTAACCGATTAAAACCGATCAATTTTTTTTTTTAATGCAACAGTAATTAAGTATGATACTTAAATCAACAAACATTTTAAAAATAAATCATTAGAATAATTTATTAAATATCTGCTAAATAAATTTATGTAAAAATTACATTATTAAAATTAGCAATCAATTTTTAATAAACAATTTTTTGTTAAGTAATTTAAAAAACTGAAACAATTTTTTTTAAAGTAATTTCAATCAGGATATATTTTTACACATAACTAATTTTTAAATTAAAATTGAAGAGCATGTAAGTATTTTAATTAAGTAATTATATTTTCCTTGTAATTGAGTTGTCAAAGGCGAAATTAATTCCTAACTAAGGTAAAGCTTTGATATTTATTTATACACAAATTTATGATGTATATAGATATAAAAATATGTGTGCCAATAACTCTTTACACTCGACATCAGTGAAGGTGGAGGCGGTAACGTCAGACATCGTGGTGTGGGTGGGGATCAGCGTCGACACCGATAGAGAGCCAGAAAAGTAGTATGCACTGGAAACTGGATAGGAGGAGGAGAAAAGGTGGATCTTGTTCTCTTGGATACCTACAACAGTAGTATCGTCGCGCGACGCGCGGCATCATCCGTTCTCCTCTATTTGCTACTTTCTCAATATTTATTCTTATAAGTACTTTTGTCATTATTTATTCTTCAGTCTTGATCTTGATATATATCCGTCCATTCGCGCGTGTTCTTATTCAAGGATTTTTTTTTTTATTTTTTTTATAAATTTTTAACTATTTGCCGGGTGATTTTCCAAAAAAAACTTTTAATTTGTTTTTTATTGATAAAAATTAAATCACTCATTTATCAAAAAAAAAAAAAAAAAATGTAAGTGTATTGACAAAAAAACAATTATTTTATACTTTTAAAATTAAGAAACATTTGAAAATTTTTAATTTAATAAAAATTATATGTAAAAAAATATATTTTTAAAATTGCACTTGGAATTTTTTAAATTTCTTCTTTTAATTATTTTTTTCATCAAAAATTATAAGTCAAAAAATATTTCTTCTTGTCTATTAAATTAAATAACACTTAAAAATATTTAAAATAAAATTCTTTCTTTGAAAATTTTGATTAAGAACTTTTTGTAAGTAATAGAATAATTAAAAATAATAAATTATTCAGAAAAATATTGAAATTTTAAATCTTATAAATAATTAAATAATTTCCAGTTTTATTTTACTCTATAAAGAATTTAACGGGATCTACAAATATAAGCGCCCTGATTATTAAAAAAGATTTTGAATGATTGAAAAATTATTAAAATTTGAATAATTAATTTAGTTTTTCTTATTAAAGCGAAAACTAAACTTCAGGAAGCTAATATAAACCCAAATGTTCAGCATTTAAATAACTGTAAATAAATTTAATTAAAACGTTTTAATATTACTCTACTCTCAATCGTCGAATTCCCGAGCAAAAGCTACCTCAAACCCTGACCTAATTACTGGAGAAATAGATTTTAATATAAAATATTAATTTAGAGTAAGTTAAAAATTTTTTATTTCTTCTTTTATTTTTTAACTTCATGGATTTTTTAAACACTTATTACTAACGAATTATTAAACTACTGACTAATATTTTCATTAAAATTACAACTGTTTTATAATTATAGTCATTAATATATTTTTTTATTCCATTACTTAAATAAATATTTCGAAGAATATACCAGCTAAGCATGACCTACCTAGAACTAGTGTCAATAACAATAGAAAATAAAAAAAAAAAAAAAAAAAAAACAAATATACTTTCGGAGATTTCACTGAGTCTTCAACAACTTGACAACTTTCTCATTGACTAACTTGTTAGTCCATTATAGAGATTGATATCAACTTTTTAGTGTTTAACTCTTGATCCTTAAACAATTTAATGTTATTACTTCTTTTTAAAATATTTATTTGTTTTTATACCAAGTCTTAATTACCAAACGGCAAACTTTAATCTATATTTATAAAGTTATCTTCTTAAACAATTGTTCAATAAAAAATAAATATGCTTTATTATTTTATTTTTTTTTTTTTTTTTTTTTAATTAGTATTCAATACACCGATTTTAAAAAAAAGTACATGGTTTTCCGTAATGTAATGATATTCATCTTGTTTATCGCGGAAACTCATTTGCACGTAGTCGCATTTGATATCCGTATTCGTTGGGTGTCAATGCAAGTCTCATGACCTATATTACCACTAGGTGTATCTTTTACATTTCTTTAATAATCTCGTTTGTTGAGTAAAAATAATAGTAAATAGTATTTTCGCTTCCTGCATTAAAACTACTGCAGAATTAATAAAAAAAAACCGCTTCAACATTTAAAATTCTAAGCACGCGTATTTCTATTAAATTAAATTTATTATTTCTTCTTTTTATTATTTTTTAAAGTCTATCCACTTTTATTTAATTTTTTTGATAAAATAATGTTACTTACAATGAAACACTTTATAATTTTGTCTCAATTTCTGTTTAAAAATTAAAAATAATATACAAAAAAATTGGCTCTTTTTCAGATTTCTTCAATATTGTCTTCTATATTTTGTTGGCGACAAAATTTACCCACTTGCCAAAAAATAATTCTTCATATTATCTCCAATATATCTTCATAACTGTAATTTATAAAAATATTAAGTACACAATTATTTAAAATAAAATTATTATAATTAGTCTCTCTAAAAGATCAAAACGTCAGTTTTATGACGTAGGTGGATCGCAAACGGGACTGAGCGACAGGTTTTCTCACCTAACGGTTTTTCAACGGTACTCAACTCTTCAATTTTTAATGTTCGAATTCCCTTTGTTATTCTCCTTTAAATAACAGTTTTAAAATAATTAATTTAATTTTATAAAGCGCGTTATTGTTTGTAATTTAAATACAATTTAATTATCCATTTCTTCTTGAATAGAAACAAACTAATTAATTGGAGCAGTTTCAATAGTACGCTTCCTTGTTAAATGTTTTTAATTTGATGTAATAAATTCCTTAGAAAATTACATAAAGATTGCTTGTATCTGTAACTTGTTAACATTTTTATCAAGTACTTAAATTAATGACTTGCAAGTTAACAATGTATCATTATTTTAAATAAAGCAATGAGACTTGTTAGTCATTTTCATTGTATAGTTGTAGAGTTAATTTTGGAGCGTTGTTGAAAAAAAAAAAAAATAATATTCTTAACAAATTTTTTTTTTTTTTTAATTGTAATTATTTGTAAAATTATTTTTTTCAGGCGCAAAGATGATTTTTGAAAGTATTTTAATTTTGACAATGACACTAACATCTATAAATTCAGTAGCGATCGGTCCAGAACTGACGATTGATGGAGAATCGGCTAGACATTATGATTCACGGTATTCAATATTTGACAAACCTTATACAGTTGATTTTAAGTATCATAATTATGATAAAATGAGTCGGTTTTTACGAGCCACATCTCTTCGCTACCAAAATCTCACTGCCCTTTATTCTATTGGAAAATCTGTTAAAGGTATTTATTAATTTTTTAAATATAAATTATTAATTTATTAATTATAAATGAAACTTTTTTAAGAATTAATTTATTTATGATTTTATTTAAAATTAAAAATTAATTTTTATCTTAGGACGTGACTTATGGGTCATGGTTGTTTCTTCTTCGCCGTATGAACACATGATAGGCAAACCTGATGTCAAATATGTAGCTAATATTCACGGTAATGAAGCTGTAGGCCGTGAATTAATGTTACATCTTATCCATGTAAGAATTAATTTTTATTTAAATAAGTAATAAATGTTTAAAATACTTACATTGTTAAATAGCTACTAAAAATTAATTCTTATAAAAAATAAATAAAATAACTAAATTTTACAGTTATTAGTAACAAAATACGGATCTGACGCATATATAACATGGCTATTAGACAATACAAGAATTCATATTCTTCCTTCGATGAATCCGGACGGTTTTGAAGTATCTAAAGAAGGCTTTTGCGAAGGCAGCCAGGGCAGGTATTGACTTAAAAAATCTTCTTCAGAAGACAATTTTAGATTTTAATAATAAAAATATATTTTTTTTAGATACAATGCACGAGGATTTGACTTAAATCGTAATTTTCCCGATTATTTCAAGCAGAATAACAAGAAAACTCAACCGGAAACAGAAGCGGTGAGAGAATGGGTGTCAAAAATCCAATTTGTATTATCCGGAAGTTTACACGGGGGTGCTCTTGTGGCCAGCTATCCGTTCGATAATACTCCAAACTCGCGTGAGTTATTAAAAAAAATTTATTGTTTTTTCTTTCAAATTTTTTTCTATTGTGAAATTTTGCCAATATTACTATTATTATTATTATTATTATTGTTATTTCTTCTCATTTTTTTTTGCAGCGATAAAATATAACAATAAAATCAAAAAATTTATTTATTTACTTTGTTTCATTTTTACTATTGAATAGAAAAAATAACAATATATTTAAATAATATCATGATACATAGAAACATTAAACTATTAGTGTGTCTAAAGAGTGTGATGATAATGAACAATAGAATTGTATATCCGTTTTTTATTTAATATAATTTTGTTTATTATATTATGAAATATTACCTACATAATTACGCGTTTATAACGGATGCTGCACATTATTATTGCTTTCTCTTATTATTTATTATAATAAATAAATTTTTATTTCTTCTTTTTTATTAAAAATTATTTATATTTAAAAAAAAATACAATATTTAATTAAGCGTAAATAAAATAACAAAAAATTTATTAATTTTTACGTTTTCATGCCATCAGGATTATGTCGATCAGCACCATTGTGCGCAAGTATGCTTTTAATTAAAAAACAAAACAGAAAATTAATTAATAAATAATATTTGACAGTTTTTATGACCCGTTTAAAATTTCTTCCGTCATTTTATAATAAGTAATAAATAATAGTTATAATTTTCTCTCTGTTATATAATTATTATTATTATTATTATTAATAATATTTCTTCTTAAATTTTTAATTAAAATTAAAAATTTAAAATTGGAGCAAATTTACTGAGTCATAATTTATTTCTTCTTAATAAAATATTAAAATATTTTTTTTTGTAAACAGTGTTCCAGAGCTATTCATCAGCTCCGAGTATTTCTCCCGACGACGACGTGTTCCGTCATTTATCATTAACATACTCACAGAACCATGGATCAATGCATCGTGGAGAAGCTTGCTCACCATCTCAACGAGGCTTTAAAAATGGAATAACCAACGGAGCTGAATGGTACCCACTTACCGGTGGTATGCAAGACTTTAATTACGTCTGGAATGGCTGCATGGAGATAACATTTGAATTGTCCTGCTGTAAATACCCACCAGCTGAAGATCTCAAGCATTACTGGGAAGAAAACCGTGTTGTACGTTGAAATAAAATTTTATTTTTACTTCTTCTTATAATTTATAGTAATTATATTATTTCTTCTTTTATAGTCTCTGATAAAATTCTTGGCAGAAGCGCACCGGGGTGTGCATGGATTTGTAGTCGACGAAAATGGCAATCCTATTGAAAGAGCTTCAGTAAAAGTTAAAGGAAGAGATGTCAGTTTTCTTACTACAAAATACGGTGAATTCTGGAGAATTCTTATGCCTGGAATTTATAAACTTGAAGTATTATCATTTTATTTTATTTTTCACACTTGCAATTTTATTTTAATTAAAAAAATCAATTATAATTTTTTAATTATAAATTTTACAATTATTTTTTTTAATTAAAATAAAATTGCAATTTTCAATAACAATAAATAAATAAAATAAAAAAATCTATTTATGTTTATTAGGTTTATGCAAACGGATACGCTCCTCGTGAAATAGAGTTTATGGTGATTGAACAGCATCCTACTCTTCTTAATGTCACATTACACAGTACTAAGGTATTGTAATAATTAATAATTAAAAAAATATAATTACCTGATAAATGAATGGTGAGAAAGTTCTGTAGAGTATGATTGTGAGTATGTGGTTTCAGAAATGGAAACATAACAAAGAGGATGATGATGATAATAATAGTGATGATGATGATGTTGATGATGGTAATGATGGTAATGGTAATGAGGATATTAACGATGATAGTAATGGAGATAATATTAATTGGAGTCAAAGTAAAGTTCGAGGGACAGATAAGACTAAAACAACCGGTGATCAATGGCATAAGTCAATATCTTCACGGCCCTTGGATTACAAGTTCCCGGTACAAGATTCCGCTGACTCCAAATCCGTTCTATTTCCTTCCTCCTAATAATTAACTTCTTAACTATGATTATTTTTTTTTTTTTTAATTATCTTTATCCATGTCCTTTTTTACATGCAAAATATATTTCACTCCCTTGTCCTAATTAATTTTCTACTTTATACTTTATATTATGTAAGTATCAAAGGCCAAATGTTTCTTCTCATCAATGTTTTATGCGCTGAATAATCTGCATTTTTTAAATGTTATCTTTTATGGCTAGCATGTCTTCTTTATCAGGTGTTACTAATTAATAATTATTCATTATTAATTTATTTATTATTATTTAAGTCTTATAAAAAATTTAAATCATTTTTATTAGTTAAAGTAAAATTTTATTTCAGCTTCTTGAAGATAAATTTTATTAAAGAAAAATGTTATATATTTTTATATAAATAGATATTTGTGTGATTTCCAATAAAATCATCACATCACTGACTAAATTAAATGCCAGGAATCAACGTGTAGATAAAAATATACTTATCCTATAATCAATACTTATTTATATTTTAGAAAATTCGTCGGGGGTTTTTTTTTTTTTTTTTTTTTTTTTTTTTTTTTTTTAATTTTTCTATTTAAATATTTATAAATTTGCTATTTTAAATCTGTCAATTCTACTTAAATTTAACTTTATAATTGGGCCCTAGAAATGTTTTATTTAGACTAACTTTAATTAATTAAAATTAATCAACATTTTAAGCTCTTATTATTTAAACTTTTGGCATTTGCATCTTAATATAACAAGTATCAGAAATCATTTTATTTATATTTTCAGCCTTATGTTAACTTTTAACTTATTTTTATATTGCTTTTATGGTAAAGTTTAAAGGTTTAATAAGTAATTTGTAATGTTATGCTCATGAAAATTAATTTAATAATTTTTTTAACAAATAAAATTATGTCAAACAAAAATTATTTAAAAAATTGACATGAAGAAATTTGAAAAAATAAAAATGATTTTTTAAAATAAATTTATTTGTTAAAAAAAATTAAAAAATTGCTAATTTTAATGTCATTTTTTGCTCAAGTGTTCTATGTGTTATTTTATGAAGCTGAAATTAAAAGATATTTAATAATTTTTTATAAATAAATTACAATAAGAAAAATTTATTTAAAAAATTATAAATGCAATTTTTTATACTTAATAAAAATTAAAAAAATTATCAAGTGTTTGCTAATTTCAGTCTGATTATTTAAATAATTTAATGTTATAAATTATTAAAATAAAATAAAATAATTAATAATGATTTATTAATAAAATAAAAATCAACAGAGACAAGATGACACCGTAGATGGGCATTATGGAGGAAATGGAGGAAACGGAGGAGCAGTACGCCCTTATCCTCACCGAGATTATACACTCCACATTAGACCAAGTGGTTCAACTTATTCCACCGTCTCATCAGAATCAAACAATGGAATTTTTTCATCCATTAGCAATGGATTCAACTCACTGGTGAATAATCTGTTTGGCTGATCGTCTGCCTATCGACCGGCGACACGAGACGTTGCCCTTCTCATAGTTCTCCTCTCGCTGTTACGTTATTTGGGTAACCGCGAGCTTTTAAGACTCATTGGAATTATTCTTACCGCAAGAGGCTTCAATACGTGACCCTCTTTAAATTACTTTGATTAAAAATCAATTACATCGAAACAGAATGAAAATTTAATTAGCCGACATTGGAAAATTTTTATTTAAAAAAATTTAAGTAAAAAAATTCAATTTTTACAAAATATTTTTTTTTATTAATTAAAAAATTTTCAAATGTCTGCTAATTTTTATTTACACTATTGAATCAACAAATGAGACTTTAATTTTAATTTTACCATGTATAATATTTATCTATTTATTGATATAATTAAATTTAAATTATTAGATTTGCTAATACCTCGTTAATTATTGCAAAGTATATTTTAAATTTTAATAATTTTTTTAACAAATAAATTATAAAAAAAAAAAAATTATCAAATTTAATAAAATTTTTGAGTTATAGACTAAAAGTGTTCACATAAAATAGTTTTTAAAATAAACATAATATATATATATATATATATATAAAGACAGTAAGTGAAAATTATCGTGATTAACATAAAATAAAAATCATTCAATAGTTAATTAGTTTCAGTAGCTAAAAATTCTAATAATCATGTATAATAAAAATTCAATTATAATTATATTTCGTTTATTTAAATACCAATGCTTATGTATTATATAAATAAAAATTAAGTTAAACAATATTTCTATTATATTTTTTTTTTTCTATATTATAATACCACATGTAAAAATTTAAATTCAAGTACGAGTTTATAATATAATACCCTAAAAAATTCGAGAAAATTTTTCACATTTGTGCGTTTATCCTCTTTACGATATTACAATAGATTATATTAAATATGAAATAAACTTTGTAATATTACATCTTTAATACTGTGTTGTTGTATTAAATACTTGTGTTAATTATTACCGTTGAAAACCCTGCATTTTATTTTTGGTAAGTGTACTTAAACGTCAATAATACTGTTACGTTTTTTATCATGGTCAATAACATCTAAATCGTTACCCAAACTACCCACTCTGCCTCGTAATCCACCACTGCTAACTTGACCAGTAGCTTTTAATTTTTCTTGCATTTGAGCTAATATGTCTTGCATTCTTCGAATCTAAAAAAAAAAAAAAAAAAAAAAAAAAAAAAAATATTTATTTATAAATTCTAACTGATTAATTTTTTATTTAACTTACCTCTTCATCTTTTTGAAGCAACAGTCGGTCTGTGTCAGATATACTATTTTCAAAGTGTGGACCAGAGTCTCTTTTTAATTTGCTAAAGAGAATTAAAAAAAAAGAAATTTTTACACAAAAAAAATTATTCAAAGATGTAAGCATCGCTTGAGTGTAAGCAGGTAGTTTGAGAAGATAAAAAAATAAAGACACTTATTTACTTGGGTAAGTACCTCCTTTCCCTGATTGCTTGTTGTGATATTTGAGATATACATTGCGCTCTGAAATTTTCATAATGAACGTCTTGTGTTACGTCTTTCAAGTCCTGCATGTGAGTTGATATCAACATAGTACGTAGTTTTACGAAATCACTGTGCTTTGGATTTTCAACTGTGAATATAAAAATACATATATATTATTTAATAAAAATTTTATTTTAATTATACTGTAGCTAGCTGACAATTTTTTTTAATTTTCACATGTGGAATTTTTTAAAAATATTTTTTACTGTCAACTTGAGTATAATTTATTAAAACGTAATTACAACCTTCAACGACACCCCAAGGATATTGTCTTCCTCGTACTTTTCTTCCTGAAACTTCAAGCACCGTAGAACTACCAATCACAGCAAAAGGTACACAAGCTTTCAATTCTTTATCCTGTTGCTTAAACTCTTCATCCTCATCGCTATCACAGTCCGGAAATTGATAAATCTATTTTAAATAAAACAGTAACAAGTTAATAAAATAAAATAAAATAAAATAAAAATTGAAAGTTGATTGATTTTTACCTGGATTTCATGTTCCTCAATGTCCGCTAAAATATTTTCTTTTAATTTTCTAACTTCTTGACTTGTCAGAGTGTCAGCTTTAGCGATAACTGGGACAATATTTACTTTTCTATGGAGTCGTTTTAAGACTTCAAGATCCATTTGTCGCAAACTAAAATAAATTATTTAATTGAAATATATTTTTTATTTTATTTTAAATTAAAACTCACCCATGGCCATAAGGAGGAATAAAGTACAAACAACAATGAACACGATTATCTTGAATATTTTTACGATTGAGCCCACTTTCATCGGTAAAATACTGTCTAAATTGCTCATCAATGTATGCAGAACATGGCTTCCATGTATCTTCACAATTAACAGCATCTCCAAATCCTACAAAAGTATAAATATTAATTTTTTTTTTTTATTAACAAAGATTTATTTAAATAAAAAATATAATTTTTATGTTTGTTTTAAATACCAGGTGTGTCAATAATGTTTAAACGTAATCTCACTCCTCTTTCTTCAATGTCCATCGTCTTCTTTTCAATAGTCGTTGTTTTTTCAATTCGATCTTAAAAAAATTATACAAATATAAGTACAATATATGTTATAGAAATTAAATTAGCCATCTTAAAATTTTTAGAATATTTTTAAAAAATTGCACTTATAATTTTTTAAATTTTCTCCATGTCAAATTTCTTCTTTTAATTTTTTTTAAATAATTTTTTAATAAAATAAATTAATAAAAATTTTTCAGATGTCTGCTAATTCAAGTGTTTTATATATGTAATAAAAAAAAAAAAAAAAAAAAAATAATCCTTACCAATTGCATCAGGAATACGTCGATCCTTATAAAGATCACCAAGAAATAAACTGTTGATCAGAGTAGATTTTCCCAGACCAGTTTCACCGCAAACCATCAACGTAAATTCGAATCCTCTTTTTACAGATTTTCTGTGTACTTGCTCCGGTAAAGTAGCAAATCCAATATAATCCCTGTCTTGCTAAATAAAGTTAAATTAATTAAGCAATTTTTTCACAAGATAACAATCAAGTGTTTGATTAATTGTATAAATTGTAATATAATATTTAATAATTATATAACATACAGACTTACCGCCAGACATGGTAGCAACAATAACACGACTGCCGGCTTGCCGTCTAGTCTAGTTGAAGTTGAGTTAGGCAATCACGTCGATGCGTAAGTATTCTCACCCCTCATATACACTCGCGCACCCTCGCATAATCAATAATCGCTTGAAAATTTTATTTGTAGCTTACAACTCAAGACACACCCGCTGGATTTTTAATGTACTGATAATTTTATTTAATTAAACAAGTACATATGTTTAAATAAAACAAGATATTTATCACATAAATATTTTTTTATTTCATTTTTTCAAGCTCGTATTTTTAAATTACTCTGCAAGCAAAATTCAATTAACATTTCAATGAGTGTCATTATTTAATATATTTTTTTCTTCAACATAATACAACGAAGATATTTTTATTTAACGGATTCATTTTTAATTTAACAATATAAAAAAATTTTTCTGTCAATTAAAATAAAAAATTTACTTTCAATAGATAATTAATTAATTAATTTTTAATTAACTATATTAAATTAAAATAAATTTAAAATGATATTTACAGAGATAAGTCACAGTTTAATACCATCTCAGTTATGACCACGAAAACCAAGAACGATTAGCAGACCCGGTGGGACTTTTTGGAGAAGAAGGAATTGATCCTGATGGCGTGCCCGGTTGGGATGAATTTTGTGGCTCTGTTTTAGGTTGAATTTTTTCGTTTGTTGCTGCGTGCATTTTTGACTCATACTGACGGACATCATCGAGAGACATATCGTGCCATTCGTCGATCCAAGCGAATGCTTGCCGATGACCCAGCAACAAAATATCTCTTATGCACTAAAATAATTATTTTAATGTATAATTAATTTAAAAAATAATTTTTAATTATAAAATAAAAATAAAACCTTATGAATAAAATCTTCTACACGAGTTTGCATTCCCCAAACTTCGAATGAAGCATCAACAAGTTTGTAAGAACACATTATTGGCTGCGTACTTTCACGCCAGCCTTCAATCAGTGGTCCTCGACCTGTTTTTTTAGATTGGAAAAACTTTGGATCTTCTTCTTCTTTGTAATGCTTTGCTGATAATTCATCATATGCAATATCGATAAAATCTACTTCTCGGTGGATTAATTCTACAGGAGTTAATCCTAAGCACTAAAAAAAAAAATGTATAATTAAAAATTTTTTACTCTAATAATAAATAAATTATTATTAAAAATATTATTTACATTTTCAGATGAACCATTGTTGTCTTCATAACGTGTTTTTATTGATATTTGGAATTTCGGTATAAATGAACACTGAAAAAAAAAATTTATTTTAATTAATAATAAGTAATAATAATAATTATAAATAATTTTTATTATTGTATTAAACTTACTGTATACTCTGTTATAGTAAAAGGATAATAATTCCATGCTTTCTCTGTGACATAAAAAATTCTTGGTATCAATGCTTGAATCCAATATGGTAATTTGCTAGAATAAAATAATGTAAAAATGTAATTAAACTTTTTTTATTATAGTTAATAATTTAAATTAATTTTTTTTTTTAATTCTAAATTTTTTAAATAATTATAATTTATAATTTTATATTAACTAAAATAATTTACATAAAACATAAATAATAATAAAAAACCAATAAATGATCTAAACGATCTAGTAAGAATTTAAAAATAACTTGTGACAGTAATAGGATCATTCTGTCTCGGAAGTAGAGCACTGATCCCGATAATTCTGTCTAATTACAACTACTATTTATAAATAATTAAATTTTTTTTTATAAATCAATATTATTCATTGTTTATATCTTGGAGTTAATGATGTTAATATGTAGTAATGATATTGCAAATTATATAATGGAGTGTTAATCACAATGTTATTGAATAAATAAATTATACAGGCAATGAAAAATATACTATGATAGTTGAATCAATAAAAAAAAAAAAAAAAAAAAAAAAAAAAAAAAAAATTACTTGGAGAGATGGATCCTTTTTTCAGTAAATTGTCCTTTACCGTGAACAGGATCTTCGCATTCAGTATTTTCAACAACTTCAACACCTTCATCACTATCTGATTGCTCATGACTGTGTCTGGCAATCATATAAAGTTGTCCAATGCGATACTAAATTAATTAAAAAAGATTATTTAACTTTTTGTTACTATTATTACTATAATTAAAGTTAATAAAAAATAAATTTAATGAGGTGAAACTTACTTCTTCAACAGTCAGCGGCATACAAATACGATATTCTTTGGTTAAAACCATGGTTTATTATCTTGAGAACAATCTTTCAATAAATAAATAAATAATTTTTTTTATTTTATAACCAGTCAAAATTTATAAATTTTATTAATATTGAAAAGCCGACAGCCAAACAAGTTTACTAAACTGAAGTTGGCTGAATATTTCTTTGTGATTAATGAATATCATTCAATCAATAACAGTGCTACCAACATCATCTTTAGGTAGATTAAATCTCTACCTATAATAAAAATTTTATTTTATTACAAAAAAAAATTAAATTAAAAAGAAATAATTAGTGGAAATTTTTTATAACATTTTTTTAATTATAATTGATTTATTATAAAATTTAAAAAATTGACAGCTGTCAGCTGACTTCAGTATGATAAAATCCATAGGTTTTTTTACTCCTAAAAGTTTTAGTTACAAGTATATAAAAATATTAATAAAAAAAAATATCTTTTATATTATTACAATATAAAAACATACACATGTAATATGTACTTTGAAAAAAAATACTATTGGTGTATTATTAACAGTACATGATGACTACGTAAAAACATACTGCAGTTTAAGTTTTTCCGCTCATACGTGTACAGCTGTCACGGTGCGAATGGACAATAAAATAAACGTGATGTGGACGATTCTGAATCTCAGATAACGCGACAGTGTTGAAATAAAAAATTAAAAAATTACAGTGTAATTGATAAATAATTAAATATACAATAAAATAGAAAGAATTATTTAATAGATATTAAATAAATCAATGGCATTAAGATCATTGAGGCAGGAGTACCTGCAAATACCTACAGTTACACGAGCTTATACAACTGCTTGTGTACTTACTACACTCGCCGTGGTTTGTATTACTTTTTTTTAATTATTCCTATTATCATTTATCTATCTATCTATTACTTTGTAAGTCACTAATCGATAAATCGGTAAGTTAAAAATTATAATTTTTTATTTACAGCAACTGGATTTGGTTTCACCTTTTCAACTATACTTCAATCCTATTTTAATCGTTCATCAATACCAAGTAAACTTTAAAATTAACAATTATAATTTGTTTAACAAAGTGTCAAAATTAATCAGAGTAATTTTTCTATTTAATTTAGATATGGCGACTTGTCACAACGTTTTTGTACTTTGGTACGGTTGGGTTCAATTTTTTCTTCAACATGATATTTACTTATCGCTATTGCCGGATGCTGGAAGAAGGTCCGTTCCGTGGAAGGACAGCTGATTTTGTAATGATGTTCATTTTTGGTGGAGTTTGCATGATTGTATCCTTTTTTTTTTTCTGGATTTAATCATCTATTTACTCATATATTTTTGATATATACATATATATATAATATATATTTTAAAGTTACACTCATCGAGACCTTTCATTTGAGTATCCACATCAATTTTTCATATATTTCATATATTTATATATATATATATATATATATATATATATGAAAAATATATCAAAAATGCATGTGGGTACTCAAATGAAAGGTCTCGATGAGTGTAACATCAGGATGAATTTATATCTTTAAAAATGTCAATAGTTAAGAAAGTACAATGCAATTTAACAAAATTCATTATTTAATAAAGCAAAATTTTATTTATTTATAGTTCGCAAGTCACGTAGTGACTGCAAGGTTGCTAGTAAAATTTAATCGATCATCAATGATAATGACTTATCATTCCATTGTAATTTATAATTGTGTTACGTAACTATTTCCTTGACAATTCAATAGATATTTGCATTTTTTGTTAATTTATTATTTTTGGGACATGCATTTACGTTGATGCTAGTTTATGTCTGGTCGAGACGAACTCCATTCGTTAGAATGAACTTTTTTGGCTTGCTAAACTTCAGGGTAATTTATTATCTAAATAAAATATTTTATAATTAACTATTTAAAAAATAATTTTATTAAATAAAAATATTTATCCAGGCTCCATTTTTACCATGGGTTCTTCTTGGGTTCTCTTTGTTACTCGGAAATGTCATATGGGTAGATTTAGTTGGCATGGCTGTTGGACATATGTACTATTTTGCTGAAGACGTTTTTCCAAATCAAGTCGGAGGTGGTTTCCGAATCATAAAAACTCCACAAATACTGTAATTATTATTAACAATATTTTTAATAATTAAATATTGTCAAATTAAATATTATTTTTTTTTTTTTTAGTAAAAATTTATTTGATGAGCGTCAGGAAGATTCAGACTACGCTCCACTTCCTGAAGACAGACCTGGAGGTTTTGCGTGGGGCCAAGGAGCCGATGTCCATTAAAGTAAATATTTATTATTAAAATTAATTTATTACCAGTGAAATATTTTTTAGTGTCTTACTCATACGTTAAACAAGTGATATGCTGGTTTATTTTTCACTCAGAAATTTCCATTAAATGCCATTAATATTATTATTTTGTAACATTATATTGTCATTTGTTATTAATTTAACGGAATGATTACTCAATTTATTTTTATTTATACAATCGCACATTGAGTGATTTTTGTAACAACCAACTTGTAAATATAGATAGTAAATTTCATAAATATTTATGAGTAACAAGAGATAAAAATAATCATTAAAAAAATTAAATTATATTGTTTAGGGTAATTACAAAGTTTGATGTAAGTGAGAACGTTTTTTTTATTGTCTGCAATATTTTCCAGACATGAACAATTTATTACAATTTTATAAATATTTTTTTCGGTTTCATTTGGTAACTTTATTTTTCTGTGAGTAATATTAATCTCTCTCTCTCTCTTTTTTTTTTTTTTTTTTTTTTAAATGAAATAAAGTGTTAAATATAATCTATAAACAGTAAGTGATTGATTAAAGAAAAAAAAATGGAACAGACTGGATTTTTTTCTTCCAAAACAGGTACTCTTTTTAAGTATTGTCAAAAATTTGTAAATTAATAGGTGTTAATAAAAAAATATTGTTTGATATAATTGAATAAATAATAAAGATATAAATATAATAAAATAATTTTGGCATTTTAAAAGAACAAAAAGCTAATGAATTTTTTATTATCACACAATTTTTTTATGTATTTTTTTTTCGCCACATTTCATTAAATAATTTAATGATTCTAGTGGAGTACAATTTCAAGTGGAATAATCTATAATAAATTTATATAAAGTATATACGTATGATATGAAGATGAACTATAATACAAGTGATCAAGTGTCAGGAGGGGAATCGTACATGTCTATTAATTAATTAATTAATTACATTGCAATTGTAGCAAGCAGCACCGTGATGTCATCTGGCTTGCCTCCTGAAAATGACAGACCAGTTAATTTAATTTTCAATAATATTTTCCCACAAAATTAATTGCTCTTCATGATATACAGCATCTCAACGCAATATTAATATTATAAAGAGAATAAGCAAAATTTTGTGGCTAGTGTATTTAGAAATGTTCTATCTCTAGATACATAATTAAGAAATGATCTTGTATCTTGTGAACTATTGACATTTTTTAAGATATAAGCTCATCCTGATGTTACACTCGTCAAGACCTTTCATTTGAGTACCCACATCAATTTTTCATATATTTATATATGAAAAATATATAAAAAATGCATGTGGGGTACTCAAATGAAAATTCGGGATGAGCTTATATCTTTAAAAAAGTCAATAGTTAAGAAAGTACATTGGAATTTAACAAAAATCGTTATTTAATAAAACAAAATTATTTATAGTTCACAAGTGACTGCAAGGTCGCTAGTAATAATTAAAAAAATATTGAATTAAAATTAATTTTGTCGGGTAATAGAAACTGAATGAAAAGAAAATCTAATAAGATCTCACCTATAGCTTCAATACCATTTTGTCTGGCACTTTGAGCAAAAGGGGACAAAAAATTACCATCAAAAGCAAGACTACGCGCCATCCAAGCTATCGTATTGGCTACGCCTTGTATTTTAGTAGGATCTCTTTCACCTTCGACTTTCCTCATCTCTGTGACTAGTAATTGGTCAGGGACATTATCGAAGACTCCGTCTGTTGCTAAGAGTATAACATCGCCATCCTCTACGCCGAACGTCGACGTATCTGCGGACTCTGGACTGTAAAAAAAATTATTCAATGCAATACTTGAAAAAATTTCTCGATGCAATTAACTTTCTCAGCTTTTCTATACTTTCTATTCGATTTCGAATTAATGTTAGAAAAAATATTTTAATTCAATACATTTAAATAAATTTTACTTTACCTATCCCTCAGAACTAAGTCAGAGTGTCCAGGAGGTGGTAACGATAATTGAAACGGCGTATTAAAGTAATGCTGTTGTTCAGATGAGCGGTGAACAACTTTACCCTTTCTTACAATAACAAAACCACTGTCTCCAATATTAGCTGCATATATGCTACTAGTTTCTTTGTTTAAAACGATAACACACGCAGTACTACTTCCTAAAATAAAATAAAATAAAATAAAATAAAATAAAATAAAATAAAATAAAATAAAATAAAATATTTTTTTTTATTAAGTTCTGATAAATTAATTATAAAATATTAAGTTAGTCGATATTTAAAAATTTTTTAATTTTTTTTATAGAAAAATTTTTATTTACCTAGAATAGATTGTTTATTTTCTAACAGTTCATAATAACTTTTTGCTAATAAACCTGCTGGTTCATGGGGCACAAATTTCCCTAAGGAGACTAGACGTTCGCAGGTTTTCATTAAATAACTTGAAAATTCACCCGGGTCGATGCCATAATGACGCCAACCACCAACACCGTCTGCAACTCCTATAATCCACAAAAACCATTAATATAGTTATTTTTAAAATATATTTATTTACATAATAACGAGATTTTATTATTATGTATTATTAAAAATAGACTAAAGCATACTATAATTTATTTGGCAATCTGCACAACTTTATTTACACAACTCACATGTGCTTGTGTCACATGCATTTAAAATATGACGTTTTCTTTAAATTTATATATAATTATTATTATTATCATATTGATTTATGTTAATATATGTTTTTTTTTTTAGAATTTTACAATCATTAAATAATTTTTCGGAACAAATTTATGACATTAAATTTAGCTGTCACTTGACAATATTTTAATTTTCTTTAACAAGAAAATTTCTTCCAAAAACTTATTTTTAAAAAATTGTATTTTTAATTTTATTAAATTTCTACAAGTCCATTTTTTTAATAATTTTTTTTTTTTTGCCACAATTTATTTATTAAAGAAAATTTAAAAAAAAAAATTGTGAAATGACAGCTAAATTAAATATCATAATTTTTTAAATAAATTTTATTTGCTATAATAAGTAAAAAAAATTCTAAAAAATTATCAGATGTCTCAAATTTCAGTATGATGTAAAAATTGACAGCTGACAGCTAACTTCAGTATTATTTAAAATAATAAACACTTACCAATAACTTCAAGAGCTTTAAATTTAGCAGTAAACCAGGCATCATCACCAAATTGTCCTTTTCTAATTCTTCCACGTGATAAATCTTTAGGAAATCCGCAAACAGCAGATACTAGTGAAGCTTCGCGTTTTTTGACAACGGCTGGGTCTGCACAAGTTGTATAACTAGAAATACCATTCCAAAGTGCTCTTGATAAAAGTCGTCCAGTCCAATAAATAGATTGCATATTTTATATTATTTTTTTAATTATTTGCTCTAAAATATTAATATTTATTTCAACACCTAGGTAACATTTTTTTTTATTTATTTATAAATTACTTCAAGTTATTATTATTATTATTATTATTATTATTATTATTATTATTATTATTATTTTTTAATATACTGTAATCACTGTGGACTTTAATCTTGCGTTTACTGCAACCGAGTAACTCTTTGGAGATTCAATCGTGTATCAAAATCATTTTTACATTTATTTTATTTGGTATTACTACGTTAATTAATTTATCAGGAAAATGATTAATTAATATGAATTATTTTACTAGTCACCAAATTATTTTCATTCACTACACTTGGTATTTTTGAATCCATTGAAAAATACACTCAGGTTTTTTTTTTTTTTTTTGTTATTATAAGACGATTATATTTATTTTTTTTTTTTTTTTTTTTTTTAGCAATCCGTTCGTCACTCCCTCATTAATGAACACGAAAATGATCACATGCGGGCTTTCATCATTAATGTTTTAGTGAATTAGATAGTAAAGTAGTCTTGGGACATTTATCTATTTTATGTTAAAAAGCGCCTCTGCGTATATTCTCCGAAGGAGGTTTGTGTTAATGTGTGCGTGTGCATCAGTTGTATGTAAAAAATTTTTCATTGGTAAGGTAGGTTTCATTGATAGTTATTGTTGATAAATAATAATTTATTAATTATAATTTTCCAACAGGTAGTAAGTGTTAATAACACTTATTATTAATAATTATTAAAAAAAATTTATTGAAGAAAATTTTAATGACACTGAAGTTTACTGAAGAAATTTTTTTTATAATTTTATAAAAGAAAAATTATTAAGAAAATTCTACATGTAAAAATATATATAAAAATTATTGTTGAAATTTTTTTATTGTAATTGATTTATTATAAAAATTGACAGCTGTCAGCTACAATAATAAATTTTACATTATTGCATGTAGGTATAATTTTTAAAAATTTTTACATGTCAAATTTCTTCTTTTAGTTTTTTTAATAAAATAAAAATTTTAAAATGTCGGCTAACTTATATATAAAACTTTTCTTCGTTTTTTACATTAGAAAAATTATTGAGAAAATTATTATTTCTTCAGTAAAATAAAATTTTTAACTAGTTAATTTCTTATTACCTTTTTTTTAAAAAAGAAATTTTTTCACTCAGTGTAATAAAGTCTTCTATAAATTTTATATATTTTAATTAATCCTTATCGAAAGTAAAATAGAAAGAAAGAATGAGGTAAAACATTTATTTCTTCTTATTATTCTTCTCAAACCAGTACAATTTAATATATTCAAAAAACTATAATATCTCTGAAGAAAATACCTGTTGCTTGTCTGTCTTATTATTTTCACGTCTTATTCTTCTTTTCCAATTTTATCCTGTCGTTTTTTGTCAACTTAATAATAAGCTCTAGATCAATTTGTTTGAATTTTATTAACAATAATTTAATGTTTATCGATTGATCTGAATTTCTTTTTTTATGGATTCATCTCGTTAGTGAATGTAAATATTACAATAAAAAAAATATAAATAGCAATTGCATCATCACCATTATATATCTATTTATCCGTATATATATATATATATATATATATATATATATATATATATATTTGTTCACTCCCTTCACTCTCCCACGGGAATCTAATCCATCAGACGGAAATGTGGGAATGAAACAAAAATAAAAAGTTATCACGAAAGAAATAAAATTGAGAATTAAATAGCAAATTAAAAGTTTAATTTGCACGAAGATATATACTTTAATTATATTTTCATCAGTAAAAATTTTATTTCAATAAAATTTCATTTTAACAGCTAATAATAATTTAATTGATTTTTTATTCCAATAAATTCAAACTTAATATGTCGGAAAATGTTTTAATAAATTAAATAAAATTTTTATTTAATCAAAAATAAATCTAAAAAAATCTTATTACAAACAGGATTATTTTTAATTAAACGTACAAAGATAAATCCGATGACTTCTTTTTATGTATAATAAATTAAAAAAATCATTTTATTAATAAATTGATAAATATAAATAAGAAGAAATCTATTGAATGTATAAATGATGATAAAATATTGGAAAAAAAAAAATATTTAAAATGAAATTGAAAAAAATACGACAGATGCGATTGAAATCGCATTGAAAAATCTCCGGGGAACTAGAAGTAATTCAATCGATCTTCGATACTTTAAGTTTTTCTAGGGTGGAAAGACCTTGCTATACCTTGTCTGATGCACGGAGAACAAGCTATGTACACTATCGAGTGGAAAAAAGACGATAAAAAAGGAGATAAAGTACTAAGTTTCTAGCTTCGTTTAAGCTGATGCGTATGTGTATACATATACGTACAGTACATAACAGTGTTACCGGAATTTCCTGTGGTGTACGTACGTTCATACAATAGAACTTTCATACACTCTTAATATAAATCTTCCACAAGTCAGACCAAAATTTTCGCCCGTCTGCTTATTCAGGTTCGTGAGATAGACGCATTACTTTTAGTTTCTTTGTTTTGTTATTCTTTTGCTCTTATAATTTTATTTTCTTTTGCATATTTTATATTACTTGAAATTATAATGGAAGATATGAAAGTATGTGTCGTATGTACATGATAAAAAAAAAAAACTTTTAATATATCAAAAAAAATTTATAAATAACTCGTGCGGAAGAATATAAATGTTATATTTATAAAATAGGTCTCTTTTGTCATCGTATAAGAATGCCAACAAAATAAATATCATTGTTATTATTGTATATATGTAACTATTTTTAATATAAATCTCTTCCTGCAGTTTTAATATACTCGACAGACTTGTAAAGAATAAAAAAATTTTATGTTCTTTTATGTCTTGGCAACTATTTGGAAAACTCTATTCTTGCTCACATTCATACACATATCATCTACTTTTATATATCTTTTAATTTCGTGTTTATTATCCGCCCGGATAAACTTCTTTTTTAACTAAACCTCTTAATGGAAAAATTGTAACTCTTTAAGAGTTTATTTATATTCTTTAACTTTGATCCTTTTATTAGGATTTAAAGAAGAAAAAAGATTAGATTTTCACGACAATTAGCTAAGCGTTCACTTAAGTGCGTCAGGAGAGCAAATTTATTGAACTGAAAGAGCTGAAACTGATGACAGCTCTGTTCGTTGAGAGGGTCATTTTGTCTCTGTATCTAATCTACCATCTGGGAATATTTTTTTTTATCTAACTTTTAATAGAGTTTCGAGTTATGAATTGGTAATTACAGTTACGTACACACCAGCTTACGTATTTTATCATTGATTAACGGAGTATAAGTAGGTTGATTAAGCTTTATTTTTATAAAAAATCCATTTTTAGACAGTTTAATTCATAATTTTAATTATTATTTATTTAAAAGACTATTTTTTAATTGTTGGATTTTTTAAAAATGTTTTTTAATATATTATAAAAAGCTTAAGAGTCAATCTAAGCTTTTATTCTATTATATAAAAAATATTCTAATTTTAAAAAATAAAAAATGCAATTTTTTATACTAAATTTGTTAGAAAAAAATTTTTAAATAATTAAGTAGTCTTCTTTATTCTTTGAAAGTTTATTAATTATTTGAATTTCAAACAATTCGATCAATAAAAAAAAACTTTTACTTATAAATATTTAAATACATCTACGAGAATGACCAAATCTAATGTAGCCTTTATGAACCAAACGTAGATAAAATTTTATAACTCATAATATCAGTATCGTTATACCTAAAGTATACGCTGTATCTTCAATTTATAGCTTAAAGTTGGAATAATTTAAATAATGTGTTAAAATATTAAATCAGAGTATCATTCACTTGAATTATATAATTAAACTTTACTACATTGTCTAATATTTCCATTTTAATTTTAATTATCTACAGTAGAATAATTTTATTTATTTATCGAAAATTTTAAACAAGTATTTCTTCACTTTAAGAGCTTATTGTTAACTTGCGGATAAAAGTTTAAATCATTATTTAGTTGGTGTATTGCTAAGTCGAGTTTGAGGTCAGCTAAGCTCGGTCCAAGTTACATACACAAGGCTAAGCGTATGGTAAGCTCTGTCATTTTTTCTCAACAAAGTTTCAAGTTTTTTTTTTTTTTATTTTTTTTTAGAAATAATTTTGAATACAAATGAAGCTATTATTCTACAATTATTTATAACCATTATAATTTATTTTAACTAAAATTATTGTTATAATTATGACAATTATTTTATAAAAAAATTATTTTATTTTTATTTAATGAATTTATTTTATCAAAATAAAATTAAAAATACATTTTAAAGGTATGTAATCTTTAATTAAAAAAAAAAAATCAGAGAAATAATTAGTAATAAAAATATTTTTTTTTAGTAAATTATATTTATAATAAATAGCTATCGAGTAATGATTGAATCTTTGTTAAAAAAAAAGTGATAAAAATTAGATTACATATAATTAAATGTTATTAAAAAAATCTCTAACGTAACATCTATTTATTAAAAGATATATGTTAGGTATTTTTTTTTATGACCTAGATTTTATTTGAAGGCTTTATGTGAAGCTTTTAAGTGATCACGAAGGATGATAGCCTTCGACAAGGCTCTTGGTTATTATATTCGTTTTTATTGTTATATTCCAATACATCAAAATGTGGTCCATCGGTTTTGTTACTCTAGCTGTGGGTGAAAATTAATGGCCATTAAATAATGTAACGTCGAGAGGCGTGGAATTGTGCCATCATCCTTTCTTGATACTTACGCAAAAAATATTTCCAGATCACCCGGAAGAAAAACATCCAATATATATTACAGGGTAGCTTATTAAAATAAACAACGCTTATTCGTTTTAAAGTAATTTATATTTATTCGCATCATATTGATTTATATATATATATATATATATATACTTTTTCCTCCGATAAATTATTTTCATTATTATTTATTATCTTAACATTAACATACATATACATAAAAAACTATAATTATTACAATTTATCTAATTTATCGTCCGAATATTTTCGGTTTTTTTTTTTTTTTTTACAATCATTTATCAAATTTTTAAATTAAATTAAATTTTTCATTTTTAATATTTTATTTATCTATCTACCATTTTTTTTTATATACACGTATAACTTATTAATATTTTCGTGAATAATTTAATATTCAACACTTAAATAATTACTATTAAATTTAATGATTTTTTTATGGTCAATAAATTTATTTTTACTAGAGATGATAATCACGATAATTATTTAATTAATTAACAAATAAGCTTTTCACTTTTTAGTTGATAAATATATATATTAATTATATTATTTATCCAAGTACTTGGTATTAGCCTAGTAATACAAACATAAATTATTTTTAAGTAGAGTGCGTCGCATTTTTTTTTAATTCTTTATTTTTTACAATAATCATATAGTCTTCTTCAGTCAATAGTAAATTTTATAATACTTTATTTCATTCAAAATTTTTAATAATTATTTTATTAATTAATTATTTATACAATTGATAATTATTGGCCTAGTGTATAAAGCTCGTGCAGAAAATAAATAATAATCATAATTTTTTGTGGTAGAAGAAATATTTTCTCATTGATATTCTTATCAAGAGCTCAGAACTACCCTTAGAATTTAAAATAGAAAAATTGCTCAGCGTTTTTATTGAGAAAAATTTAACCCTGCTTTTATAAAAAATTTTTAATTGATTTTAAATAATTTTAAATCCTTTAAAAATTTTTTTTTACTTGTCAGAAAAATTCTTTTGACTTTTTATTAAAATAAAAAATTTTATTTTAATAATTTTATTACTATAAAAAACAAATTTAAAAATATTTAAAATAATAATTTATATTGAGAAAAATTTAATCATGCTTTTTTAAATTCTAAATCCTTTAAAAATTATCCTTTGAATTTTTTCATTTTATTTATCAAAAAAATTTTTTAATAATTTACCATGGTAATTTTAATAATTTTATTATAAAAAACAAATTTAAAAATATTAAAAAAAATAATTTAAGCTAGAGTTTGTCATAAATACCAATTGTTGACCTTTAGAGTAATATTATATCAATGTACTGTTATAAATTTGCAAAAAACAACTGTCCTATCGTAAAAAATAATGGAGAAAAGGATAAAGGACGTAAAGAGTATCAAAAACAAGGTAAAATTGAGTTTAAAAAAAAAAAAAAAAAAAAAAAAAAAAAAAAAACTGAAAAAAAGCCAGCTAGCTCTAGTGGAATTGTCGAGTGGTAACGACTTGCTCCACTTTGTGTGACAAGCGGCCAATTCATTGGTCTGAGAAAAGAACGAAGAGGTGAAGACCAAACTAAAGTCTGCAGTCTAGCCGCGAGCGATTGGGAATCGCGTTGTCATTGACTTTTACGACTCCAAGAAGTTGAGTATGAAATAGAATGAACGAGAACCTCTCTTTTCATTTATTTTCTTATATTTTTTTTTATCCGCTCACGTTTCTTATCATTACGCCAGATCTTTCATTTATAAATCTAAACCAAGTTACGCACTTATGTAAGCAACAGTATTTATTTATCTATTTAAATTATCCAATTTACTTTATAATCAAAATATACAACTATCTTAAATCACATTGACAAATATACTTTATTTAATATTATTTAACAAATCACTTTTAGTACCTTTTATTTAAAATATTTTCATTATTTTAAAATCAATAATACACTGTGAAAAATCTCAAGCTTTTTTTTTCAGTCAAGTGATTGTCAATCGGAGTAGCTAGTACCGATTATTTATTTTTATTTAAAACAAAAATAAAGAGCTCACTTTGCATAGATTTTTTTATCGATAAAAATCACCCGGAAATTTTTAACAGTGCACTATTTGTTAAAACTAATATTAAAAAAAATTAATTTAACAAATAAAGTTTACTATTGATTTTATTTGTCATGTTTTCTTGAGTAAATACGCTGAGAGACAGGTGTAATTTCCAGAGGGAATATCTTAGTATATACGAGGAGGTAATTGGATGATCTTCATTAGCAATTATGCATTCCATCGTATTACCGAATATCTTGTACATCTACGAGATACTTAGAACAAGAACTGTTATGATCTTCGGAGATATGCTAGCATACGTTAGACGGTAAATTATATTATCAAAGTAGCTCAAATAATTTTTATTACAGCAATAAGCATATTTTGTATAGAATATTTCATTTTAAAAAAATTATAAACAACTAAAAATTCAATTTAATCGTCTCAGACAATTTTTTTCAAGTTCCAATTACAATTTATTATTTTTTTACTCAATGATATTAACACTTAATTAATTTATTATCGATAAAGTAAAACAATAATTTGTCCTAAAAACATATTACAAATGATTTTTTTGTGATTAATATACTGATTTAAGGAGCCATGAAAGAAGATTTGATAACATTTTTTAATAAAATTTAAACCACATATAAAAAATAGAATAATAAAAGCAGGAAACTAATTTATTGTTTGTCACTACTTATTAAAAAAAAAAATTAATTCAAAAGAAAAATCACAACTTTATACAGCCTACAGAAATCTACGTCGAAATAATGAATTTTTATTTATTTTATGGAAACAATAATTATAAAAAAAGAGTTCCCTGCATTCTTTGTCACTACTTAGTTATAAAAAATTTATAAAACCGATTATTTATAATCACAATTATTAATAATAATGCACCGAATGTACGATAATTACATTCGGTGCATTATACATGTAATTATCGTACATTCGGTGCATTATTATTAATAATTGTGATTATAAATAATCGGTTTTATAAATTTTTTATAACTAAGTAGTGACAAAGAATGCAGGGAACTCTTTTTTAATAAATTAGTTTCCTGCTTTTATTATTCTATTTTTTATATGTGGTTTAAATTTTATTAAAATCTGTCCAAAATTTAGCTCAAAACAATGGACCAAAAATTTTATCTCATAAAGATGTTTTATCAAATCTTCTTTCATGGCCTCTTAAGAGAAGTAATATAAAAAAAAATATTTTTTTTCGGATCAAATAATTTTTTTCAGTGTGCTTCCTGAGAACATGGGTCAGTGATTTTGGGTTAAACGAGACTAGAGCACATTATTTGTACTGGTAGTCTTTTCCTCACGGGGGTGTCGTGATAAATATATACGGATTGTTTTTTTCACTAGAGATTTTTCCGTAAAATACGTCGGCTTGATAGCTATAATTTTTTTTTTTTTTTTTTTTAGTAGACATTGAGATAAAAACTAATTAGAAATTTTCTAAAAAAACAAATTAAATTAATGTAAGAATTTTTACGAGTAAAAAAATAACTAAGATGACTCGTAAATTTTTAAAAGTTGACTCCAGTTTAAAGTTGTTTTATAAGTATTTTATTATCAATACCTGTAAATTTAATAAAAAAAAAAAAAAAATCTAAATTTATTATATATTTAAAAAATGAAAATTCCGTAATATCTTTCATCATTGTTCTTTGAATATTTAACAAAGCCGCAGCAAAAACCAGGACGAAAATCCTCAGTGAATAAAGTATTTTATTATATATAATACCTTGAAGGTAAACAAGCGTGTTCTATCTTCAGTGACGCTGCATAATATAAAGTGAAGATTATGGAATTCAGTCGGTGAATTACATCCACCTAGTCTACGTCTCCTATCACATGTACAATACACAGAATATTTGACGTACAAGCCTTGATGTATTGTTAGTAATATAAATACGTGTAGAGAGACTCGTTTGATAAATTTACGGAGCTTATCCAACTAAACTTGGTGTTTCATTGGAAGCTCTGGCAAACTCTTGGCAATAAACTAAGTGGAGCGAAGGACAGAAGGAAAGACAGACGGAGAAAGTGAAAGAGGATGAAATACAGATGACCGGAAATCTCTTGCAACTTAAATTAAACCAAATTCTAGTTATTATAATTGATATGCTTAAACTTGTGTAAGTAGCGTAAGTTGTGCGCCATTTCTCAAATTATCTTTCTGCCCCGAACCTTTGAGTCCCTTTTGCTCCTTGGAGTCGCTTATTATCGTGATATTTGTCCGGGAAGTCATGGTAATTGTGGTTGTTGATGTTTTGCTGATAAGCAGACCACGCTCGTCGTCCTCCTCTTCAAGTTTAGCTTTGGAATTAGCAGAAGCGATAGCTTTGCTAGATTTGAATCTGTCGTGGTCAGATTTATTTTTCTTCGGAAAAACGCTGTTTTCATTGTGCAAAGTTGCGTTTACGTCTTTGCCAGCTGCACAAGTGCAGGCTTTGAGGAAGCTCTTTTTGAAATTGTCACTGAGAAAAGCGTAAAGAATTGGATTCATGGCGCTGTTAGAGTAGCTCAAAAATCCTGCTAGAAGAAAGGCAGTGATGCTTATCGAAGATTGACACTGTTTAGGCGGCTCATAAATCAGCGCTACTTGTGTGATCCAATAAGGAAGCCAGCAAAGGACATAAACAGTTATAACAGTCAGTACAAGCTTGGTTACTTTTTTATGCGAGCGTTTTTTCTCCTTGGATCTATTTTTTGGACCGACTGTCCGGAGTTTTTTAATTACCAAAAAATAAAACACCAAAATAAACGTCAGAGGAACTGCAAATGTCAGAAAAAATGTGTAGAGTGTAAAAGTGGTTTGTCCACCGTGCATTTGATGCTCATCCAGCCCCGTTTGATTTCCGTGGGTCTTATTTTCGATGTTGTTGTCAGGCCAGTATATATTACAGCTTATCCCGTTGTCGAATTCATTGACGTTGGCGTACAGAACCACAGGTATCATAAACAGAGCGCTGGTAAACCACGCTGTCATTGAGACGACCTTTGAGATAAATGGCGTTCGCATCTTAGTTGCGGAGATCGGATGACAAACTGCAATATACCGATCCGCACTCATGATAAAAAGAAATATACTGCTGGTGAATTGATTTATGCTCGTTGTTGTCATGTACGCTTTGCACATTATTTCTCCGAACGGCCAGTATCTCAAGCTCAGGGTTGTCACCAAAAATGGTATCCCGATGAGAAAACATTCGTCGGCAATTGCTAAATTTACTATGTACATATTTGTCACGGTCTGCATTTTGGAAAATCGCAGCACTACGTAGATCACCAGAGTGTTGCCGAGTAATCCTACCACGCAAACAATGGTATATATTACTTGATGAACGACTGCAACTATCCGTAAGTCAGTGCCGCAATTAAAATTAAGTGTCTCGTTAGTTGTGTTTAACGTCTCTTGGAGGAATTCCGTTGAATTCATGATGTTTTTTTTTTTTACCAATCCGACAGTTTAATTGATGATTTTTAGAATTAGCCACCTCCTACCGAATCGACTGCTGACTCATCTGGAGTCCTTTGAATCCTGAAACAGCAAAGATCACCTTGACCTTAGAATAATAGCTAAGATTTATTTTACAGAAATTTTAACATAATCTTTACTGAGATAATACTAATTGAGGTAAATTTTTCGGGTGCTTTGAAATTACTTCATTTGCTGAAGAAATAAAAATTTTACTTTGAAATTAAATCGCTGAAAATAAGCGAGACTATGGCTGTATATAAGCTTGAAAGTCTTCAATTGAATCGAATATATTTAAATAGAAAATAAATTACTCGTTGTTAAATCACTTAATCTTTATGGGATTTGTATATAAATTAAACCGAATAAAAAAAAATTACATTTTATTTTGATAGAAATTCTTGTAGTCTTAATTTGTTATTTCAAAATACATTTTTTTTTTTGTAAAATTTAGATTTAATAATTACACAAGTGTTAATATTAGTTTTAATACTAATTTATGTAATATGTGATTGGACTATTAGTGAAACTTTGGGAGAAATTATTGTCTTTGATCAAGTAATTCCGTCCGTAATACACTACTGAGACTCATAAGAAGCTTTGGTTATTGTTAAAGCTAATAGTGTTACTTAAGATTTAATGGACATCAGTTGTATAACGATTATCGATTATCTTAGAATCGATAATTGAGTAACGCAGTTGACATATTCTCAATTTAAAATTGTAAGTTCTTTTTTGAAATTTCCGAAAAAAATTTGCAAAACTTTTTAATAGTTTTTACTTTGCAACATATAAGTTAAAGTTGTTAGTTGTTAAAGTTAGGAGTTTCAGAATTCGAGAAGCTTATATAACAGTAAGTACATAACATTTAATTTTATATATAATTTAATAAGTAAGATTAGATATAATCATTATTAAATAATGTTTAATTGCATTAGAATAATACAGGATATCTATATACGTTACAAAAAAAAGTAAAATTGTTTATTGACAAGAAAATAATTAATCTATATTATTAAGGGAATAAGAAAAATTTTATAAAATTTCTAGATACATAATTAAGAAATGACCTTGTATCTTGTGAA